AACCTCTTATTACACTTTCTAAATGTTTTATTTTTCTCTATTCTTGATAAATTTGTTATTTTACTTAAGAGTGCAAATAGTATTTAATCTTGTATATTTTTTTAATAGTCGCTCTATATTTGGAGTTGTGTGCTTTAAAGTGTCAAGTTTTTGTTCTGTTTGTTGACGTAAGTGTATTTTAAAGACTTTTTTTGCTGCATTCAATTGAATGAAGCTGAAATGTATAAGAGCAAATAAACTTGTTACTGTTGTATGAAGCAATGAATGTTTTGTTGATAGATCTCAAACAGGCACACAGTTCAGAAAAAATCTTAGAGTTTCCAATGTATTTCTTGCTGTGCACATGTTCTGCACAGTTTTTTGTGCATTATTGAGTACATCTATGCAAAATATTTTTGCAAGGTAAAATCGAGCAAACCTATTTTGCTTATTACAATGGTTAATGGGATAGGTTACAAAAGGCACTCGTCCCATAAGGCGCAAGTGACCTCTCTAGTTTTATACTAGAAAACTCACCATTTCTACACATCAGTTTTGTTACTGCCAACAACGTAATGATTCATCGGCAGACAGAAGTGAATAGCATTTTTATGCATTATCTGTTGGAAAGAATCAGACGTTTTCACGATAAGTCTACTGATTATGAATTTCGATGTCAAGTCAAGAAAAGTACACGCACGTAGCATTTGTTCACTAGTGAGTGTTGCTAATCACGATATTGCACTGCTCTACTGTGTGGTGCATTTCACTCTCGCAATTACTGTTTGTGGATAGAACTGCTACGGAATTACTTTAAATGTTTGCTTGTTCCATCTGAGAGACAAAAACACAGAAACAGTCACTGATATTCCCGAAGTTGTCGCTCAAGGAAGGCAAAATTGTGTACAGTAAGAATTTACTTCCAAGAAAAACGAAGTTTATTCCGAGTAGAAAGTCTATTCCTAGTAATACTTCCGAATGTAATTACGATCCGTACATAAAAAGCAGTAGAATTTTAAATGGAACTCACTGTTCGAAAACCTATTTGTATTACTAAATGTTTGGTCTGCGCAATACTTAAGTTGAATTGGCATTGCGTCACACTCAGTTTAACGCTGATTTCTCCGCCACTTCTATGCATGAGTAAAGAAGGGTAAATTTGTTCTGCCAAATTATTGCTCAACTTAAAGCTTTTTTGTAACTTTATTATTGCATCCGATATAGTTATTATGACTATAAATTAGCATAGCATTCTTTTATTTTGAGGCTTTCAACTTCTTCAGCATTGGTTTTTTCCCCTTCTCTGTTCATTCTATGCGTAACTCACGTGACTTTTTTCCTCTTCTGCTTCTTAAGAAGCATTGACGTGAGTACTCCCGTTATAGATCATTCCTTCTTTTCGCTTCTTGGCAATAGCCTGTGAATCAAAAAATTCTTTAGAAGCACTTTTCTAAGAATTACATCACGGATTTAATCAATTCCTAGACTTTCTGTGCCATTTCCACTGTTATTGTTTGTTGTATTACTTCTTTGGTATTTTACCATTACTACTGCAGTTAATAACTGGTACTGTTGCTTGTTATTGTTATTGCTAGACAAAGGATTAAAAAATGAGAAAAACACGAGTAAATTTGCGTTAAGAACAGATGTGAAATCGCTTTATAGTCTCAAAAAAAAACTTCGACGCAACCTAAACTTGCCTTTAGATATAAATAACGTCAACAAACATATCTAAAATTGAGAATTATTTATTTGTTGACAAGTTTCTCGAGCACTTTCACTTTATTCCTTCCAGGACATTCATAAATTACACTTCTCGACTTGCAATAACAGATTCTGCCAGGAATTTTCTTGAATACACTCATGTTATTTATAACAGAAGAAGGATTCCATTGAAGGTAAGAAATAATTAAAAATTTCAATTAAACTACGTAGAGAATACAAGCGATCACACAGAAATTAGATAATAATAGCGTTTATGATATAAAGTTAAGAAAGGAAGTTCTGGAAGGAGTAAAATAAAAGGGCTATATATGATAATAGTATAATAATGTTAGTACAATTCACTTGCATGCATTTAAATTGCAAATTCACTGGGGGAATCGATACATATTCTATAGGTCAGCCTAGACTAGGAATCAATACATAGTCGTATAGATCAGATTAGATCACAACAAAAAGCCTGTTTTTACAAACAAGGTAAAAATAACTTTTTAGTAAAAGGAACAAATAGTAGAGGGATTGTCGAGATTTGCGTGTTTGAAGAATTGAGGTAATATAAAAAATAGAAGAGGATTTATGCAGAGGAAAACAATACAGTTAAGGCAAATGCCAACTTACTTATGTATAAAATACAAATGATTAAAAATAAAAATAAACTAATTACCACTTTATTTTAATAATAAGAAATTTAAATTTGAAAATAAGAAAAATCAAAGAGAACGATTTTAAAAAACAAAGTTAAATGAGTATCGTGCACTGATATGGAGATTCAGAGAAAATATAAACAGCGCATATGAGTTAACTCAGAAAATCTGAAAGTTTTGCAGTTGAGAAGGCTAAAGTTATTTACTAATATGTTCTAGATCTTGTAAGCAATTATTTACTTTGGAATTGTGCCATTTATCCCCTGCTTACTCTCACCTGGGTACCATTCGTTTACAGGCAACTTGGAGTTCTCCTAAAGAACTGAAATCATTATTATCCATTCGCATTAATTTCTATTATACAATTTTGGAGATTCAAAAAGATTAAATCAATAAACATTCAAACACTCATTTATTGTATATTTATAAACTCAAGTAGATATTACTGAAACATAATTAAATTTATAAGAGAAAAATTTTTTCAATAATTATTAAATAAATAATAATTTGTTCACTAATTTTATTTTTGCTATAAAATTTATCTAATTTTATTCTTTAATTTCAAAATAATCATCTAATAATACTAATTTATATACTTCAATTGATGTGATAATACTGTTGTAAGTGTCATAAGGACAAGGCAATAAGTTATGTGAAATATGGATTGAATCCCGTTTGGGATATAACGCCATTAAATAATCCCAGTAAGTCACTCGAGGTTGAAGAGGAAGATGTGGATTGAGTACTGGTCCTGTTGCCAGATTCTTGAACATATCGCACTGCAGTGATGACCAGTAGCTGTCCTGAAAGTTGAATAACAACTCACAGGTCAATCATATTAGCAAAGATCGTATTTAATCATAACCTGATCACACCTTTCTTTCAGAATTATTTTCAAATCTAAATTGGAATTCTATTACAATTTTTTCATCATTGCTGTGCCGATATTTAAATTTTCATCTTTAATAATAATGACATCTTTTATTTATAACCACAAAATCAGTGGTTAGAAATTGAAAAATTCAAATATTACAAAAATGGAAATAATTCAAAAAGAAAGATTAAACATTTTAGGGTCAAATTTTAATCATTTAAATGTTGTTATGTGGATGCTTTATATTGATTATGATGGAGAAGTATATTTTTGGGCAAAAATATTAAGTACCAAAGCCCGTTAAAGTACAAAAGAATATTAACCACGTACATTCAATGCTGTACTTTCAGCATTTACAGCAGTAGCCATCCATAAGGCATATGGTTTAGATTCTCGGAAGGAGTCATCGTATTCTTCATTAATTAGCGTATCCAAAACCGTAGGCTTCTAGAATTTATTGTTTTGAGCAAAGAATTGCAGAATGTGAAGAATTTTTCACAATATACTATAAAATTTACAAAAATATTATTAATGGTAGCATGGCAAGCATAAAACCTTTGCATCATCAAACAGAACACATTTACTTAATCAAAATTACTACAATCTGCTCATGAAGTACTCACGCTGAATTCCTTGTTTGATTTTCTAATATACTTCTTACACTTTTCGTCTCGTGAATGACTTGTAGGCCAAAAATCAGTTGTTCTGAAGCACAATCAAGTAAGTAATAAGATTTCAACTAACATTAAAAAAATTCTTGACTTATATAGTATTTCTATTTGAAAAGTCAGAACGTAAGTTTCAAAAATTGAAAAAGCAAAGCACGGCAGAATTATAATAAAATACAAACACTAGAACTATAAAATAATAATATTTTGAAGCGAACAAACTTTGTCTCAACAAGTTGATTTGTTGAAATGTGCTCTGAGTTTGGCAGTTCATGAGAAGGAATGTCACACTGTCCAGATCGTAGCCATGGGATGATCTAAAAATTTGTACAAATTATTACTTTTGTACAAAATATCGAACTTAAAATAATGACTTATAGGCCAAAAATCAATTATTCCGAAGCACATTATCATTTAATGCTATTAAAAATACTCAACTCTTATACATTTTCTTAGCTAATGAAAAAATAAGATTATCAGTGACCATTTCAAATGATTGAATAATCCAGATCCCTTTGCGATAGATAATTCCAAAACATTTATGAACAATATCACCTTTAAATTTTTTGCGCTTTGAGAAACATTTTGCAACTTTTCTAACTTTTTGTTTGTCTTGTAATAAAATACTTTGGGTGTTTTATTTTCAATATATTTTATAACTTATATTATATTTAAGTTTGAACTTTATTTTACTACTTAATGTTTCCTAAAATTTTTAAAACATGAAAGACTGCAATAATTTTCGTTAATAGTAAAAAAAGTTAATTAACAAATTGGTTTCAAAAAGTGAAAATAACTTTAAAAACTTACTCTTTTTGTTGAAGAATTATCTTTGGTTCCCATTTTAATTAAGTGAAATGATTATTTCACTTTATTTTATACAATGTTACTTTACAATGACAGTTCCTTAGAGAGTTCCTTATTTTGCTTGTATTTTCACCTAAAAAATGTGGTGCAAAGGGCGAAATAGTTAGCAAAAGATGTCCAAAGTTATTTTAATCTGTCTAAATGTGATAATCATTTAAATCTCTTAAATAAAATTGATTCTGCTTCTGTAAACTTTCATAAACTGTTATCACTTTAGCCGATCTTCTAAACGCAACTACAAAGCTATAAATTTCTTAAGGTGACTTCATTGCTAGCCTTTTTTTATGTATGTGATTTTGGCAATCAAAGAATTTTTCAGAAAATACCTTTTATCTATGAACTATCTCACTTTGATGATCACTTTGAGCGTCGTTGATGCTTCTGAATCATCCTTCTCCAACAGTTCTTCGATTCTCTATCTAAGGCTTGATCTCACCACCGCTTCCTTATTACACTGCAAGATATAATGCAAATATTCAGTTTTATTGCTTGTAGTGTATAGTTTTCTTTTTTTGCATATTTTTTTCATTCAATAAATTCTCACTAATTTGCATAATTTAAAGTAGGTGTAGGCATAAATCTATGTCACTGATAACTAGTTCATTCGTTTTATAAAAAATTAATGTCTCTATTCCTTAATTAAAAATTTGCCCTTTTACATCAATATTCATCATGCGTAAATCACGTTACGTTTATGTGTTTCAGAACATAAAGTTTTGGATTGTAATAAAAATTAATAAATAAATAAACTGTTTAGTTTTGTAAAATAAACTGCAGTTGCAGAAAATAAGCAATATTTTATCGTCATTTTTAAAAAATCATTTATTTTCAGTTTAAATTAAAATTAGTTAATTTAAAAAAATGATATATGGTTGTAAAATATTAGTTGAATAAATTTATAATTCAAAAAATATGCTTTCTGCAAACCAATTTTTATGGACGAATTTGTCAACAAATGTTTTTGATAAGTAAGCAATTGATAATTGTAACTTTAAAGTTAATAATCGATCGGTCTAGAATTATACTTTATCTCAATTAATCTAAGAATTATATCAAGGTTCATTTTACTTTTTAATAAGAAGATAAATTCCAACTTCTACCTGGTACTTTTCTAAAAAATTTCACTCGATAAATGCTAATCTTTTATTAAACCAAAAAATTGAAAAATATTACTCATTGGCCAATTTTTTAATTTTAATTGATAAATCTTATGATTTTGAAAGGAGTCCATACCAGGTGAATTCTCTAATTTATTAAATTCCAATTCAAAATAAATTTGAATGAAATAAAAGCAATTTCTGTAATCTTTTTTCATATTCTTTTACAAGTTTGGAGTTTAATCGGTTGAATGGCTTGTTCTTCTTATTTTGCTTCAATTCTTTTACTACTTCGTAACATCGAAGCCGTTCACACTTATAGCATGACAGGTTTACTGAAAATTATGCAAATTTGTTTTGTTGTTCAGTTTTCTTTTACTGTAAGCAATTATTTATCATAATGTAAAGTAAATATATATTCAAGTTAATATCTATGGAATAATTTTTTGTAAATTTCTTCTGTTTACTACTCTTTCCTTCTTAAGAACATAATTGCCATTTTTTGCTAATCTGTACATGATCTGCTGCACATGATTTATTATACATGATCTGTTATACTTGACCTACTTTTGTAATACCATATTAGTCTGAGTAATTTTAAATTTATAACCAACATTCTTGCAGAAAATAACTGCTCTTTTAAGTCAGTTCTGCTTTGCATTTACGAATTTAAATTTGAATTTAATCTGCCATTTAAATTCAGACACAAAAAGAATTCATATGCATCAACAAATCACACTCGAAGTGGAAAAGTTGCGACGTTTACAAATAGAAATGTTCACACAATCCACAGCTAATAATTTTTTGGGTTTCATGCTTATCACAGTGATCAGTGAAGCTGTTATTATTGTTGCAGTAATCTTGATCATACAGGGTAAATTATGGACTTGTAAACTTAAATCTGATGAAATTATTTTAAATATTTTATTTTTTGATTTTTATAATATTATTAAGACATGAAAATGTTAATTTAATTTTTCACGTGTTAAACATAATCAGTAACTTCTTTTATTTCCATCTTCTGATGTGATATTTTATGAGTAAAATCAGCGAATAATGCTTTAATAAACTGATTGAATGAAAAGATTTGTTAGTTCATTACATGATATCAATTTAGAAAGTAATTTTAAAATTTTAATTAAAGACAATTAATGTAATAAAATTAAATTAAGAATGAAATGTGAAATCTTAAAATGTGACATTCTGCAAAGTATTGCAGAAGATTCAATGCGTCTTCATGAGAGTGAAATCATGAATTTTGGCAAAATTTTTTACACCAAATGGGTTAAGGAAACTACGGAAAATGAAGAACTGAACGGAATTCCAATTATAGATTTTACATTTCACGAAGGACGTAACAATAAATTTATTGGTAAACTAATAACTTAGTCACGTTCACTGTTTGATAACGAAATATGCAAATTAATCTACAGAAAAGGTCAAGTGTTAACTTATAGTACATAATGTGACATCATTAATTTTCATAATTCCTTGCAATACGAATTTAATTTCTGCTAAAATTAAATACTTTAAAAATCAAATACTTAAATTATTAAAAAACTTTTTATAAAATTTATATTCGTCTATTCTCAAGACTTTCAAATACTGTGTAAAACTGTACAAATTTGATAAAAAGTTAGCAATTGAGTTTTAATTGCAAATAAATAACAGTAAAATCATTTTAGGCTAATTGTTTGTTGAACTAATAGTTGCATTTTAGAGCCCTTGGAAATGATATCTATTAATAAATTCAAAATAGCAGACAAAAATACGACTACTTTACCACTTTGGGCTGTTTGCATGCAACTTGCTTTCACTGCACTCATTGCTTTGACAATTTCACACGCAATGCTTTGCTGGAATTTCACTTCACAACCAGTACCATTAATTTTGCTTGATTTTTGTATGCTTGAAAAAGAAATGTATGAAAATCATTGCAAACAATACTTACGTGAAGGTTAGCTTGCTAATTAGTCGCTAATTAAGTTTGAGTAAATGCTTTGCAAATATATAATCTAATCTAATTTCATATAACAATAAATAAATTAATTAATGATTGTCTTAAATTATTTTTTCTTTTAAAAAACTCTAATTTTAAAATTAAATAAAAGCGGGACTTCAAAATTTATTCTTTTAAATTTTGTGACAAAACTGATTATCACTTTTCAACTTTTTGTATACTTTTTGCTTTTTTGGAATCTACTTAACAATATCAGGAATATATCATAAGTATTTTAATAGGTTTGAAATGAAATGTTACAAAAATTATGCTACGTTTAAAGAAACAATTTGGTTAAATAGGCGTATGTAAAGGAATATTTATGAGTAGCGATAATTTAAATGTGCTTGAAAACGTTTGAATTTATACTTTTTGTGTCAATTAATTCATTTAATATACTTAAATATGCATACCAAAGATACTTGCAGAGTATCCACTCACTATCAGCAATGATTTGCAAACAATAACGAGACAAGTTGAGGAGAATTATAATCTTTACCTGTCAGCTTTGGATGATAAACGTCAAAAATTGAAGTTAGCTGTATTACCCGTGGGAATATCGTATCTGCTACTATTATTGGTCATTTTCTCTTCAGTTTTAAACTCACTGCTTCGAAATTTTATTCAAAAACAGAATTCTGGTACACTTTTACACTTGCTGCTTATTTATTCAGTTTCGTTGTATTCAAACTATTTGATCAAAAATCATGATTTATTTATAAACTTTTACATCTTTTTCATCACTACTTGAATAATATTTAATATATTTCACATACAATTTAAGATTTATAAAATAGAACTTTTAGAAAGCGAAAAACTTCTCCTTTAGCATACAAAATTTTAAATACTCTCTCATTGGATTGCTTTTCCACTTCGATTTGCTTTGAAATTTATTTTTCCATTTACTAAAATTATATCAAATTCGAAAAAATTGCATCGCACTTGGCATTGAATAATATTTGAGTGTAATACAGAAAATCGAACTAAATTTATGCATTTAAGAGCATTATACGCAGGAAAAATTGTTGTTAATTTGTTGAAAGCAAAACAGAACATATTTGATTGAAATCATTTAGTACTCAAAAATGTAATAATCATTCATTTCAGTCAGGCCAGCAAAGTTAAAGTACTCAAATAAGTAACTCTAAAACACAACTTCAACTTGTAATATTTTTATGTAAGAAATTTCAGTTCGATGCAAGTTAAGTCGATGTCAACAAAAAATTTGTGCTATTTTGGATATAAGTTCTATACTTATCATTGTTTGCATTTACCTTTTGATTTACAAAGAACAAGCATCTGCTAATGAATTTAAGTCAAGACTAGAACATTGTTATCAGAAATTAAGCTCACTTTTCTGTTAATTTATGACTAACAGATTTGCATATTTATTGAATAATGTTCATTCTCAAACTTT